TTGCAAAATTTCGGAGTGGAAAGGCAAAATAGTTATAAGCCATGATGTGCACTGCAGAAGGTAACTCCTCCAGCCTGCAGCAATGGTGAATTACAGGACTGCACAGCGTGGCTTATAGCAGCTTTGCCTGTTTACAATAGGAGTTACAATGAGGAGCAATATGAGATAGCTGAAATCCACTGTTTGGCCAGGCCTCTGCCTATCAGTTCCCTTGGGTTTCTGAATCCCTGCCTATGGACCAGAAATATGACCTGATACCTTATGAAGTATGCCTAGATCATTTCTATAGGCTCTCATATGCATCATAAGGGGCTAGATATTCATTTTTTTGAATGGGGAAACTGAGGTAGTTGAGGAAATTTACCCAAAATGACACAGCAAGTCAGTGGTAGATCTGGGAACAGAACCCAGCTCTCCTGATTCTTGGCTTGGTTTCCACCAGACCACATGATTGCCCCAAAACACATGTGTGGCAGTGGACATAACAAGTAACTGACGCCATCATGCTTCCCAATTAGTTATTCACAGTCAGCCTGGACAGAACATAGAAAACAGACAAAAAGAGAGTAACATTAAGAGGAATGTTCCCCAGCTGAAAAAGGATATTGACCCCAGGCACACAATCCTACTCCCTTATTCTCTGCAGTCAATTTCTAGTGTAAAGAGCTCCTTGCAGAGGAAACAGACTAATCCTATGCAGTTTCCTTTTGAATCAGATGCAGGAATGCTTTATTTCTGGAAAGGCTTCAGAGAAGCGATTCCAGCCACCACATGGATGTCTTAGGATCCCAAAAGACGTAACTTGCTTTGCCCCTGTTCCTCAGTTTGTGTGTGAAGGTTACCCTGTGTTTCTTCTGTAGGGCTGAAAACATGTTAATTAAGCGAACATATTTTGGAAATTCCATGAAGCAAGTTCCTCATGCTCTCTTTTCTCTTTCTCTTGGGTTTTACTGAAGGAGGATAATCTTGATTTTTCTAAGGCAATAAGCACCTGCAGCTCCCATTACAATCAGTAGGAGCTGAACAGCAGGAGCTCAGCACCACTGGAAAAAACAAACAATCAGGTCAGAAGTTTTGATTTGATAAATCTAAGTTTCCATGTCCACAAAAGAACCAGTATGACCTTCTGATCTGTAAACGGAGAAGCTTACACACTGCAGCAATACTTTTTCTGGACCTGAAAGACATTCGAGTAGGCACTGAAACTGAAGCCTTTCATTTTGAACGTAATACACCCTGAAAAATGTTAACGGACACTGTTTCAGCCACATTGCATGAAGTCACTTCCAAAATATAATTCCACACAGGATGAGTGCCAATGTTATTCATATTAATTTTTTATTTGTACAGCATGTGAATGCATATTGTGCTTTGCAAGAATATACTGCAAACAAGACCTCTGCCTAGAAGAGCTTTTAAGACATGCGCTCCCAGCCCACACTTGGTGTTGCCAAATATTTAAAACCAGCAGCAATGTGTGTATCTTGGAATCATTCTGAGAAAACGTTTCCATGTGCAATCTGCATTTTTTTTCTATTTCTACAGGGTATTGTCAAGCGTGATTTGACTGGTGTCTGAATTCACACTGCAATAATGACTTTATAAGAAGGGATCATCGGAGTTCCCATTGTTGGGGGGAAGTAGGAGGAGAAAGGCATAGCCCCTACCACAACTGTCTCGCATCCTGCTTGTTGGCGTATTATCAGCCCTTCCTATCCTACTCTGTGATGTGCAGATACAGGAAAGGTCTATTTGTATATTTATTACTGAAAGCCTCTTACTGAGGTTACTACTTCTGTCAATATTCTGTTGGGGCCTTATCCTGATTAGCTGGCACTGACAGCAGCAGGCTCTGCCTATCATTAAATTTAAGTTTTGCAATTTATGATCAAATAAGGAATTGATACTGTAGCCATGAGTAGAGCCATGAGTGACATAGACGAACGAGCCTAGGTAATGTAAGAACTGACTTCCATCTTCATCTGAAAAGAAATGTTAAACAATTAGAAAGCAAGAGCCAGTCTGCTCTGCATGGATGTTAAGGGGTCTATGGTACTTACCAAAAAAAGAAATGGTTTTCCCTACAACTCCTGGGAAAAAATCCCTGTCTCTGGCTCTTGAATATTTTGGGAGCTAGTTGTCTGCTGCTGTCTCCCTCAGAGATGGCTCCATTTCGACAGTATGTTACATAGATGCAGTAATCTGTGAAGCCCTTTAGGATCTTTTTGGGAGGACAGATATTACCATACATTTAAACTACTTAGGCCCAATGCCTATGCTAAAATAGGGAGGGTGCAGAGAGCAGCATTAAATTCCACACAACTATCCACCCAGTTAGGAGTAGATCATGCAGCTGAAAACTGCCCCTTCCCAGCACGGCCACTTTCCTTCTCCAGAAGTGTGAAGTCCTGGACTTCTAGGGAAAGAGCCCACTTGGGCTTTGCTCCTGGGTGCAATTCTAACTAAGCAGCATTCAACTTCCATCCCGATTCAGAAATTTTTATTTGAGTAGCTGGACCTACAGTTCTATGCTTTCAAGTTTACTACACCACTGGGAATAGATTGATTCAAAATCAGAAGGGTACCCAAGCTATTCCCCTCTAAACCAATAAAACTGTAACTCTAAATAATATAGTCCACAAAATACTAGGACTCTAACTTTGAGTTTAAACACAACATAAATGCTAAGCATAAACTAGAACAAAGTACAACACATTAAATGCTTAGCTACGAATCTCAACGAGCTTCAATATCAATTTGAAAGTGACAGTGAAAGTACACATTTTCTAATGGTCACTTTTAACCATTTGGTTGCAGTTCAAAAAGAAAAGTTCTGGTGGGGAAAGCCAGCCCAGAATTACTATTAAGGCTTTTGAATGGCTTCTACAACATGTAGTTTTTAAATTTTTAACTTTGGGGTCTAGACTATCTGTTTCTACACTTCCTATTTACTAACTAGAGGATAGATTTTGCAACCCTCACTCACACTGAGTCTTCCCTTCCTCCAGAAGTGGCCTTACTGAAGAAAGTGGAACTGCTCAGAATAAGGTACAGGAAAGTAACTGAAATACTTTCCTTATGGATTGTATTTTCTAAATGGACAACCTACCTAATTCTCAATTAGTGAGGGACAATCTCCACTCATTCTTATATTTTGCTTTCCACAACCAAATCTCTGTACAACTTTTCATGAGTGATGTACCCGAGTATTCGGATTCTAATATCTAAACTGTATTGTTAAATCTATTCACCTAAATTTGTGTTATTGCTGATTATGTACTCTATGTGTCATATGACTTTAAAAACAAACTTTGTATTTGTGGATAATCTAAGCACTATACCCAGATGTACAGACACGCTTTTCCCAACCTATGTGTTATATAATTTTTTAACATTAGCTTTAATAAAAATTTTAAATCTGTTCCACATGAGTTGGGGTGTCAGAATTTGGTCCTAAATAAGTGTTACTTGTTTGCATGGGCTCTGCATAGGTTTAGTTAGTACAGTTTTAGCCAACTGAAATAAAACCCTTTTACTATCTTTCCCACAGAAACATAACTATAGGAGGGGAAAAAAACAGGTTGAGATTTCTTGATGTGATATGAGACTGGGAAATGAAAGAGAGAATTTGATGAAGACTAAAAATAAAGCCTACTGCAAGTATTTCTGACTTGCTCTGTTCTGACTTGTAATGAGAGAGTTGCTGCTGTCTGCTGGAATGCCTATCTCAGTCAGGACCCTTCACCCCCAGGAAGAGACAACAAACGTCTTAACATGTGTTTCACATTCCTGCCTGACTTTACTGCCTGTACTGTAATAGCAGCAGAAGGATCAGCAAAACCAGCTCTCTTGGAAACTGGTGCATAAGACCACCCTCCCCCCCCCCGGCCCCCGGCTTCCCAAAAAATCTCAGCCTCAGCTACGATTGTGTAAATAACCAATGATGCCTTTAAAAAGGAACTGCTATAGATCTCTAAGGGCTAGATCCTCAGTTGGTGTAAATCAGTGTAGCTCTGATCATATGTAAAAATTCATTTCAAAGAGAGAAGAAACAAATGGACGAAAACTCCTCTTTCAGCACCAGGAGGTAGAAAATTCACAGTGCACGATGACGCTGGAGAAAATAAATGACTGGCTTTTGAAAAGCAAATATTGAATGATGCCCCCACCTCACATTCTTTAGAAAAGCAAACACAGCAGAACCCCACTATTTCACACTTCACTAACCCATACCCCCCATAATTCAAACAGAGAGACCTGAGGCCTCTACCCTCTGCTCAGCAAAAATTGAATAGCACATTACTTGAGTGTGGTTTCATGTGACTAAAACTAAATCCCTGTTAGCAAGTATACTGCCGTAGAATTGGCCGCTTACACAATGAAGTATTCTCACAAATGCTTACAAATCAAATAATACTCGTCTAGTAAGTGAATGAAGTTCATTTTGTGATGCTGCACAAGCCTTTTTTTTTTTTAAACTTTGCTTACTCACTGACTCTCACAAGTCTGTAATTCACAGTGGGATTACAGTTTATCTCAAATGCTTTGGGAACCTCAAAACTTCTGGCTAAGAGGACAACAAACTGGGGTTCATGGGATAAATGCCTAAAATGTGGATAACAGAGTGCTTTCATTAAGCTGAGTTTAGTGATGTAAATGGAAACACTTCAGAGCAGGTCACCTGCTCACTCCCCAACTCTCATTATATTATCATAGCACCTAGGAGCCCTAATTATGGGCTGGGAGGGACGCCATTGTGCTAGGCTCTGTACAAATACGGTCAAAATTACAGTCCCTCTAGACCCTCTCCCACATTTCATAGTAGCAAGCAAATGGGGTCAGAGACAAACCCGTTTGGTTATATCAACCCCTCAACATGCCCCCGCCCTTCTTATGCATCCCCATCCCAGATTTCCATTGACACCAGCTGCCATTATGCTACCCCCATGTCTCTGCCAGTCTTCCACCCTCCTCCCCATGCACACAGCATGCTCCCTCACCTGCAGTAGACCAGACACTCCATGTGGTTAATCTCATTGTCAGAGCGGTAGCGGCTGTAATCCTCCCACAGATCCTTGATGGCAGTGACAGCCAGGATGAAGAGCACAGGGGCCAAGGCCAGCTCGGGCTGGAAAGCGTTCACCGACGGCACGAAGTTGAGCAGTGCGATGAAGACAAAGTAGACATTGGCCAGGCGGTGAAACTGCTCAAAGAGGTTCTTGGGCAGGAAGGACAGAGCTGTGTACTTGGTGGTCTTGAGGCGATTGTTGGCCAGGGGGATCCTTTGGGGCTTCTCTGTCTCAGGCCCAGGTAGCAGCAGGTTAGAGCGCACAGTCCGTGTCTTGCTCTCCTTCTTCTTCCTCTTTCTTCGCCTCCTCTTCTTCCTCTCCTTCTCCTCTTTCTTCGGCACCTGGGGCGCAACCCTGATGCCTTCAGTGTCCTGTGCCATCTCTCCTGTTCTCCTTCCCAAACACACCAAACACACAGGACAGACCTGAGCACTTCTGCAATGGGGGCACTTGGCAGAGCCTGGGAGAGAAAGGACTGGCTGCCCTCTCCCTGCTCTGCACTAAGTTATCATCCTCAGAGCCTACTCACTCTTCACTTTCCTTTTCCCAAAAGGGGAGGAGGTTTCCTTCAACTCTCTCACTGTTTTGTTTGGCCTCTGGCTCTCTTCCTCCTCCTCCTTCTTCTGTGTTTGGGAGGAGAGAGCTCTTTTTTTCTCCAATTCTCTCACCCTCCCTGGCTCAGTCTCCTCTCCTCCTTGCTAAGGCTAAGCTCACTTGTGCTCCAGGGGCAAGGGAGGGTGGATTGAATGACTGTCCCGTTGTCTGTCTCTCCAGGAGAGGAGACATACAAAGTAACCCTTGTCCTGTACATCATTTTAACCACACCACTCGTTTCTGCTACAAAAGGGGGGCTCGCAGAGACGGCAGCAGTTAGTAGTGGAAACATGAGAGAATCACATACACACACAAGACCGGGGTTGCGGGAAGAGACTGAAGGATTTTTTAAGAGCGAGAGAAGCGGGAGGGAGGGAGACAGAAAATCAGCCACACTGGGAACTTTAAAAAGAGGGGAACTTTTGACTCCACAAAGTTAGTGTGAGTCAGTGCCTGGAGTGTGTTAAACGCCTGGTCTTTGGCATTGCTGGAAGCTGCTTTTTCATTCCATCCTCTCAGTCTTTATTTACACAATCAACCAAAGGCAGGCACCTCTCTCCCCCCCACCCCCCACACACACACTGGATGGAAACCACAGGTTACACTTTATGTTCTGCCTTTGACTTTCCATTACATATAAGGAGTGGGAGGGTTTGGTTTGGTTTGGTTCTCTCCCTCTCCCCCCCACCCCATTTGATATTTGCAGTTCTGTACTGCTTTCCATCCAAGGGGATCTCAAGAGTGCTATACAAATCTGCACTTAACCTTGTCAACTTAGACTTTATAAATTGATTCATTTGAAAATACTCCTGTTCGGTAGAGCACTCTTTAAATAGTATGCCATTATTTATTTTTACACACACATTTACATTTAACACAGGCAAAACATATTTTCCCCTAACTTTGTTCTCAAAAACAGCTGAATCATTTTTGCTCCAAAAATAATTGAGCCTAAGGCAGAGACACCTGACACGGAAAAATTCAGTTTCAATAGTTAAAGTTCAGCAACTGAAAATAGGGTCTTGTAGTGGACCGGGTTGGCAACCTCAACTAGAATGACTACCAGCAGCACCTAGAATATATTATTTAATTTCACAAGGATTTTTCAATTCCTCCTCTGGGAAGGGAGAGTTGGTAGGGCACTCTACACTGATCTGGTCTCCACTTTTTAAACCGGGAAATGTTAAAAACTCAAACTTCAGGGAAAGACAACCAGAGTGATACAGGAACTTGAAACTGAAGAAAAACTTAATTTAAGCGCATGTATTTAGCTCAAAGACATGAGACTCAAGGGCAACATTAACTATGAAAATATCTAAAGAGAAATAATATTTGAGGAGTAAAGACTATTCACATCAAAAGCGCAATAAACACATGACTTTGCAACTGTCAAGTATAGCACCCCACATCTAAAGATCTCAAAAGCACAAAGCTGCTCAGGCTTCTCTTCCTACTCTTTGCACATATGACTGATTGCCTGTCTTTTGACTTTCAGACTGAACTGAAAGAAGTCAGAAATGTACAGATGGGGAAACTGAGGTGTAAAGAAGCTAAAAGGTGTCCCCAAGATTGCACAAAAAGATGACTGCAGACCCAGGAATAAAGTCCACTTTAGATCGATTCCCATACCTATGCCTTAAATTACAATAATATCCTTCCTCTCATCCCCTCTGTATCTTCATTTTCTCCATTTGGGAAGTGGTAATAATCACACAAATGTCTTGGATGGCTGTTTTTTGGATGATGCGTATGAAACATGTCCAAGATATAAAGCACTATACAAGTGCTAATTAATGCAGGTCTCTTCAGAACAAAGCTCAATAGTGGCATAGCATACCTTACAAAATTACAGTATGAACTCTGCTTTGTGTGAGTGTGGAGATGGGCGCATCTGTGCTAACCCAAGTAAAAGCAGACGTTCAGATTCATAAACTTGCTGTAAATCTAAATTTCTAAGAATGGGTTTTGCACAACATTTTGATGGGAATACTTTCTTTAAAAATGAGGTTACGAAATATACCAGCTAAACAGTGCCTTTCCTGTGTTGCCAACTCTTGTTGTTTTACCATGAGTCTAGCAGTATTTGGTGTTTTCCAGAAAGCCCCAGATCCTGGAATCCTGTGATGTGGGGGGGGACCTCAGCTTTCATTTTTGTGTTAACATTACTTTTCTAGCCTCTGCATGGTTGCAGAGAAAAGCTTGAAAATGTGACCCCCTACAAGTTCAAAACCAAGAAGACACACAGAAAAACTCCAGAAGTTATTATTTTTAAAGATCTCATGATTTTTAAGCCAGTCTCATAATTTTTGGACACTTGGGATTAGCAATATACTTGTATTTGGCATGAATTTGAGAGTCTCAGTATTGGATATGAAAAAAATCGTGTGCTTCTTTTGAGTGCGACACAGGTGCTGAACTGGGGGAGGAAGGGGGAACAGTGGTACTTTTCCAAACTCCAGCCACATGAGATATCAAAATGAGAATCAGCTTCCAAGAGGTTGGGCAGATGTTCATAGTACTTCCTGGACTTGGCTCACCACCCATAGGGTTCAAAGAGCTGATGGGCTCTGCTTGGCTCATCAAGCCTGTCTCCCCCTTGTTGAGGCTCAGATACCATCCTGGTTTTCAGCTCTCCTCTGGGCAGGACTTGGGTGCTCCTTTCGCTTGTTGAGTCCAAGGGTCAGATTAAGGGGGAAAGCATAAGTGGCTGCAGTTACTGAAGCATCATTCATTTGTGGTGCCGAAGCACGATGTCAAAGTAGACTGTGCAGATCCTCCTGATATGACCACACTTCTCCTTTCTTCTATGCTTTGATCAGTGAAATAGTTAACCATGTTGACATGAAATCATCATCCTTACGCTTCTGAGTTAACACTTCACTGAGAAGAATGAGCTTTTGTTTCAGACTCTGCGGACATCACCACTTCATTGATACTATTTATACATTTTTCTTCACAACCATAAAGGCCAGAGAGTTAGGGCCAGATTTTCAAAAGGACTGAGCCCTCACAACTGGGGCCAGATTTTCAAAAGAGCTCAGCACATTAGCTACAGAGTTCCTCAGAAAAATCTAGTCAGTGTCACAATGGGAGCTGCTGGGTGCAAAGCATTTCTGAAAAACCTGGGATGAATGAAATCCTGGACCCATAGAAGTCAATAGCAAAACTCATATTAACTTCAAAAGGGTCAGGATTTCACTCCGGTGCCTAAATGAGAGTGGAGCTTTTCTGAAAATCTGGATCCAATTGTGGGTGCTGAGAATTGACAAATCTACCCTTGAGCTCTTTAGAAAAATTGGGCCTCACCTTTTTATTTTTGTTTAATGTGAGCTGACATCCTGAAGCACATAGAAACCGCAAAAATAAGATGTACTGACTTGCTGAGCTGCTGCTAGCCAGGTCAGTCTGAGCCTTGGTGCCATACATCAATCTTTCCTCCAGGCTTTGTATTGTGTGTGTTTGGTGAAGAGTGACAAAAAGTAAGTTCTGTACTAGGTATGGAATGGAACCAAGAACTGCCTTTCCATCACAAAGTTGAACACAAGCCGAGAAAAATCAAAGGCTGACACCATCCGTAACCCACGCCTCTAGGGAAAACTAGAGTATGGCAGTTAAGGATGGAGAGCCTGATTGTGAGAGGAGTTGAGAACCTTCATCACCCAAAGACATTGGATACACTTTTCAGGAGCAGCATTGCTAACCTCAAGCATTCAAAAATTATGAGCCATGCCCCGCAAATCATGAGACTGCCTAAAACATCATGAGGGTTTTTTTTAAAAATTGGCGTCTTTTTATTGGCTTTCTGGTTTCGAGCCTTTAGGGTTCTTGTTATGAGCTTTTCTCCACAAACACGAGGGTTAGAAACTTACTTCTATTTAAAAGAAATATAGAAATCAAAAAGAAAAAAGAAAGCTGAACGTCTCATGTAATCGCATGACTCCAAGAGCTGGAGATTGATAAAAAAAAACACACACCAAAATCATGAGACTCAATCTGAGCACTGTAAAATGGTTACAGATTTTGAATGACTTAATTTAAGACTGTTTTAGTGTCTTTTGTCAAGCACCCACAAAATCAGTGGCCAGTTTTGAACAGCTCATCCTTAAATAAATGAAGAGGGTGATCAGCATCCCACAGGATTGGATTTTTAAATCTCTCATTGAGAGCTCACTGATTTTACCCCTCTGTATTGCTGCTGTGTTGCCACTCTTACTCCTGCTCTCACACAGATGAGAGTTTAACTTGGCTGTTTCCTTTGAAGATTTTTCAACTGTTAACAATACATCCTCTCACTCAGTCATATGAGATATCCCCAAGTGTCAAAAATCATGGATATTTATTTAAATAACCATGCTGATATAAACAAGAGTTCAGCCTTATTTTAAGGTGTCATTGTTGGTGACACAACAGCTAAGCTTGCATTGCAATATTGCCAGCCACAAGAGTTAAAAAACCATGAATCAGTCCCCTCCCCCAAACCATGTAATTGGCCTAAAAATCATGCAAAGTTTTAAAAAGAATAAATACTGGGGCCATGTGCCTATGCTATGGGCACTACAGGGAGTCAGCTACAACGCTGCAGGTGTAGCGCGAAGTGCAAACCTTTGCTACTGCAAAAGAAAGGGGTTTTCCTGTCACTGTTAGTAATCCACTCTCAGAGCAGCAGCAGCTAAGTTGATGGAAGAATTCTTCCATTGGCCTAGCTGCGTCTATACCAGGGGGGTTGTGTTGGCATAGCTTTCACATGCTTGGGTGCCATAGCTACGTTGACTTAACTTTTAAGTGTAGACGAGGGGTTTTGTTCTATCATCTGTTTTTTTAACCACCTGCCCACCTTGTGCATGTGTGTGTGTGTGGTATGACAACTACAGGTTGAAAATATATATAAAGTACGCACACAAAAATGCAGGCCCCCGGCTCCCCTGTGTACTGCTCCCTCACTCCCCTCCCTGCTATTGTCCAGAGGGC